AGCGAGGGATTTAGATTGTATGAAGTCTAGTAGATCTTCGGAATCTTCTAACATCCCAACTGATTTACTCCGCCTCTAGAGTAGGTAACTTTACAATAACTCTAAATTCAGATTTTTATTGCTGATAGAATACACGCTGGTAATCATTTGAAGCGAAAAAAATGGATATTTAAAATCCAGCATGTGCAGCCTTGATTGCAATGACACTAATGTTGAGTATCCAATATACTGAAGGGAGACCCAGTTCTTCCTTATTGGTTAAATTCAAGAGAAAAATAAAACAGACATATTTTTTTCAGAATTTCCTCTTTAGTAAATATATTAATGTTGTGTTATCACTACCTAATATCCTTATATAGCAGCTAATATATAAAATGTGGAAAGTACCAAAAAAAAAAATATTCTTTGGGACTTTTCTGTGAGGACATATTTCATTTCATGCAAGTCACTCGGGTAGAAATGTCTGCGGCAACATAACACCGGAATGCCCTCACGGTCATCCGCTGTAATTAAAAGACAAAATAAAGTACGAAGTTGTAGAGGAATGAGGAACAAACATTTCGAAAGGTTTAGCTAATGATTTTTCGGTCCTTCAGCTATAAAACATTTAGTAGAGAAGTGTTTGAACAATGTGAAGTGAAATAGTTATAACGTTGCCAAACGAATTACATGAGATATGATTGGATTAAACTGATCTTTAAAGTAGGGGGCATTTCAGATTTGATGAATTTTGTATTAAATATATATGTAGCAAGAGAACAAAAAAGGGTATAGCAATTTTCCTGTATCCATCTAAAACCGATGAATCCAATACCCAATACTCACCCTCCTCCTCCCCCCCCCCCCCAAAAAAAAAAAGAAAAAAAGAATATGGAAATCGAGTTTTTTTTATATAATATGTTTTGTTATATATACCAAACATTGCGATTTTTCCTTATATAATCTATTAAGAATTTTTAAATCTTGGAAAAATTTAAGAACGGTGACCTTTATTTGTATAAATCAGACTCCATCTAAAATAATAGAGAGAGAGAGAGAGAAAATGAATATCTTCAACATCATTTTCTTCATATGATTCAGCTACAATGCACTTATAATCTATCAAAGAATTGTGTTAAAATATTTCATCCTATTTATAACAAAATGTGTTCTTTACTTTGAACTTGAGGTACTAAAAATTATTCTCTTTGCTGTGGTATGCAATTCAAATAAGACAAATCCACTTTGAACAATAAAAAAGTATAATGCATCCTTCGAGGATTAAACTTCATGATTCATACTTTCATTGACATTTAGAATATTATACACAGGAGTTATAAAGGATATACTCGTTATTTATGTCATGGAAACACTTAAACAAAAGGTTTGATTGACTTCAGGTCAATGGAGCCATAAAGACAGATGTGAAAAAAGAAACAAGAGGTTCATAGCTGACTGAAAACGATTGAACTATTTAGGACATAGAATTCAAGTAGAAGTACTAAAAGGGGGGTTCTAAACACTGCCCCAACACGTGTATAAGGAAATAAGTAATGTCGACATGAATTACCACGATACAGATAAATCTGGAAGCTGTGCGTTGCGAAGCGATAGTTCAGACAACATTTTGACGTGACCTGCAGTAGGGATCGACAGGAATGATATGCTAGAAATTTGGAATGCCACTGGAAACAGAGGGTATATTTGATAGGGAAAGAAGTAAAGCCTTGCAAAAGTTCTTAAAGCGCAGAGAGAGTGTGTCACTCTCTACACGAAGCATCGGATTAAATGACTATTCTGACAGGACGTGGCTGCAAATTCATACATCCCGCACAGCCAAGACGGACGCCGCACTTTAGCAAGGGTTTTACTGCCGGACGGAAGAAGACCAAGATATGACCATATTTATATACCCCAGTACACTTGAGGTTGTACATGTACGTAGTATTTTATCTGACCATTTATAAAGTCGTTGCACCTTTCAGACTTTGTATTTTCGTTTTATAAAGCGACTAGATAAAAAAAAACGCACAAGCAACTGCAATGTTTGCTCTGTTTCAAGCTTAACTATTTGAATAAATCAATTTACCAATTGCTTTTTCGAAGAGATCTTTGGAACAAAAGTAAACGATAGCATTTAAAAGAACCTACGATCGAACTTCAATTGTTCCCTAAAATTAAGAATATCCAAGATATGATCATACACAACACAATCATGTTCATTGGATACTGTAATGTCTGTTGCAGCGCGTATGTAAAGTAAGTTGCTCTTGATGAAAATTGACTGTACAGTTCGTTGGAAAAAAAACAACATCATAATTCCCACTCTTTTAAAGGTATTAGGGATGACTTTAGCTACGATTTTTCTTTTTCTACTGTAAACATTCATTTATAAACTTAGAAGAGAGTAGACCATGTAACCATTCGTCATCCTGGAGAAGAATTGAAACGCCCATTTAATTTCCCGAAAATTAGAAATTTACACATAATTTGAAATAAAAAAAAATAAATATAAATAAATTACTACCAATACAATTTCAATCTCTATAGATGAAATTAATGGTAACGCAGGCCCACATATAAAAATAAGAAGATGTGGTGTGATTGCCAATGAGACAACTCTCCACAAGAGACCAAATGGCACAGAAATTTACAACTATAGGTCACCGTATAGGTCAACAATGAGCAAAGCCCATACCGCAAAGTCAGCTATAAAAGGCCCCGAAATGACAAATGTAAAACAATTAAAAGGAGAAAACTAATGGCCTAATTAATGTACAAAATAATGAACGAAAAACAAATCAAATATGTTACAGAGCAACAAACAACAACCACTGAATTACAGGCTCCTGGCTTGGGACAGGAACACACTTTACAAAATATAAAGGTTCTGGTTTAGATTCAGATTTCAGATTCTTTATTTCTTATAAAACCAAGTTAATGGTACAAAGAAAGATATTTTTACATATAATAATATACAGATTCTGCGCATGACAAGTTTTTACAAAACGAGCATAAAAAGATGAAAGATTGATGATCAACATGGAGAACATACTTCTGTATTGATAATTCTGATTAATTTACACAAATTTTTCAATACCCGAATATTTTTTGAAACAAATAAACTGCCGAATTTCAATACATTTACTCGGCTTACGTAGTAAGGTTTAAGAAAAGCTCTTCTACTTTCTGTTAGAGCTATACAGTTTAGAATATAGTGAAATTCATCACCAATCTCTCAAGAATTACAAAGTACACAGTACCTTTCCTGTCTAACAATTCGAAGCCATCTACCGGTTTCTATAGGTAACCGGTGATTTCCAGTTCTAAACCTACATAACGTTATTTTATCTATATAAGTAATAAGTCTAAATATTCTTCCAATTCAAAGTTTTCTTTAAATAGTTTATAACATAAGGCTTTTGGAGAGTTTTCCATATCTGATTTCCAAGTCTGCTGACATTGGTCAAATATTCGCTGTTTAATGCTCAACTTTAACCATTTTGGATTAAAGCTGTGATTTCTCTGATTTATCCAGATATTTGAAAATCCATATTTATTTAAGATATTTTTTATACAAATCAACCATTCAAAAGTATATCCACTATCTTCGTTGAGTTTATAAATATATCTATAAAGAATATCCGTCAATTTCTGATCAGAACCATTTACAATGTTAAACAAAAAGGATACCATACGGTGTTCCACATATAATGACATAGTATAAGCGCCTAGCTCTCCATAAACCATAAAGCTTGGGGTTGATTTTTTAAAATTTAACAATAGTTTACAGAACTTCAAATGGACTCTTTCTATTCTACCAATATTACTAAACCCCCACACAGCCGTATAGTAATATTGGTCTAACGATTTTATCAAAAAGATCGTACTGACATTTAACTGTCATGTTATGTAAACGGCCTTGTTTAGAACTTCATACATAGCTTTGCTGGCTTTACTAATGAGTTGATTTTTAGCACTTGTGAAACTACCCGTTTTGGAAAAAATAATGCCTAAATATGATATATCCTTGACAATTTCTAAATCATTACCACCAAGTGTAAAATTTAGATTGTTTGACAATCTACCATTACCAAAATTTTTTTTTTGGTTTTGGTTGGATTTACCTTCAGTTTCCATATTTCACACTATTCATAAAATGTATTTAGCTGCTGTTGAAGATCTTGTGCAGTTTCAGAAAATAAAACAGCATCATCTGCATTAAGTAGTACATAAAATTTCAAGTAAATATTAATTTGTTCTTCTATTCCATTTGCATCTGTGTTTAAACCTAATACATCATTTCTATGAAAAAATTCTTCCAAGTCATTCAGATACAAAGAAAAAAGAAAAGGAGATAAGTTTTCTCCCTGTCTAACACCAATATTTACATGGAAAGTATTCGGTAGTTTCACCGTTAAATGAAATAAGAGATTTAATACATGTACCACTATACATGTTAAAAATTACATTATACATTTTACCATTTATATCATTTAATAGTAATTTTTGCCACAGGCCATTTCTCCAAACGGTATCAAAAGCTTTAGCGAATTTTAAGATTGGTGAGAAACATGTAACGGATTATATAGGCTCTTTAATATTAAATTTGTATAAGTTAACTGTGGCAACGATGTTGTACGGGAATGTTTGATACTGTGCAACAGGTTCTGTTGCTGAAACTGGCGAAGATGCCGAAACGAAAGACAGTGACCGACGACTGGTCCCCTGTCTATAAAACACAAAACCACTGGCGGAACTAACTCACAGACTGGTAGAGCGAATACAAACGATGACTTTCAGTATGGATTTTTATTTTCACTTTAAATGAACGGATGGTGTTAGTTCAAAAGGCTGACTCCGACTGAAGAGTTAACTGATCATCCATTTATACGGCAAAATTCGACCGTGCTGACTGATTAGCGAACTGGAACTTTTGATACCAGAAGAACAACAACATTTCTAGAAATAAGTTGACATGGTGAATTTCCATGTATGGCAGAAAAATAGTTAAGATCGCAAAGTGGTGAAATCTTTTATTTGAAAACAATAAGCAATCATAATATAGAGGGCAATACGACACATTTCTAGACATAAATATGAAAAATATAAAATATTATCTTATATCTATGCAATCAACAATATTAAAATTTCCAGGTTTGTACAACATTCGATTTATGTTATATAGATATTTCACTGAACCATACAAAAACATATAATTATAATAAAGTTAAAATCTTTTATGATTTCATCAACAAAAATATTTCACGGCGACTGTTTTTCTTTTTTAAAATAATACTTATATTCACAAAAATAAAATCAGATACATTTTAATGGGTTTCAAAACCTTTACAAAACTTTGAAGTGTTTGAAATACTAAGAATGTTCTACCTTAGGAAAATATTACCTTTCTGGATAATTGGCCCTCAATACTCTTTTAACCGTTTTTTTTGTTGTTTTTTTTTCCTTTTAACTGTTTTAATTCGCGTGTCACTGATAAGTCTTTTGTAGACGAAACGTGTGTCTGACGTAAACAATTATAATCCTGGTATCTTTGATGAGATTTGTTTTCTCTCAATAAGAATGGACTTAATTGAAAGTAAAACCTTTCATTTCGAAAACACTTAATTGTTTCGAAATAAACTTTAAGACAAATATAACAATAAAACAAGACATTTCCATAATTATCAATATGACTAGGTAAAACAACGCTATCTATGAAAGTTTGGATGGGGTGTCCTTTAATTCTGTAATCTTTATTTTTTTAAACTTTTTTTCTCTATTCTTTATAAATTTTGCCTTTTATTCTCCATTCTTTATATTTTAGCACCCGTTACTCTCTATTCTTTATTTTTTGGCATATTTTTTCTATTTTTTATTTTTTGCCCTTTGTCTGTAGCACTGGCCAGTTATTCTCTATTCTGTAACCCCATCCAAACCCTCGTCTATACATAAGATTTTTGGAAAATGTTGAAAGACATCACAAACGAAAATATCACATAAGTTTGTTTTAAAGCATGTAAATCATTTTGAAGGCATTCATATAGTGTTTAAACACAGATTGCAGAACCTGTTAATGTCGCAATCAACTAAGTCTATCATGCCTCAAATTTAATTACTGGAAGGATATTATGCCATTTAGCAACTTCGTGCGAACATGGCCGAATCATTTCCAACCAATGATCGACTCCCGATTTTGGGCCATGTTTTGCTATCACCACACGGCCTATAACACCATCTCTTGTGTGTCGACGACCTCTCATTATCACAAGCTCAAGCGCATGCTCACCAACAGTGGAATTATGAATGTCAAAAAGGAACGGTTGGTTCCACACCGGACTGTATCCACTCACAGTTTTTGTTTCTTTGGTCATAATAAGTTCACCGTGTAAATAAATATTTAGTATAATGTAATGGACTGAAAAATAAAATAGAAAAAAGAGTGTTAAAACAAAGAAATATGTTTTAAGCGTAGAAATTCAGCTTGTTTTAAGAAATTAAAGGTGCAAAAGGCTTCATCATAAATCTTCCTCGTGCATCTGAATCATTAAATTCAGTTTGTGTTAATAAAGTAAAGATGCAACAGGACTCGTTTTAAATCATCATCCTGCACATTTTAAAGTACAAAGTCTCCAATCCTTTCTTTATTTGGAACTTTAAAAAAAAACAAAACCTACAGAGATAACATTGATCACTTTGTCACTTTTGCTTGAAAGTCTCCTACAACGTCGTTATAATTTCACTTAATCACAAATCAACTAATTAACCATTTTGCAATATGAAAAGACACATTCGTATTATTATGCAACTAAAGGAACTCGGACAAAGATTTGATTTCGAAATTGAAAGCGTACAAATAGAAGGATTTTAAGTGAAAGTAAAAATTATGTAATCAATAACAATTATGCTATTTCCAGAATGCACTATATCAAGGAAAATCAATACAGTATATAATGGTGTACTGGGCTTCAGAAATAGCACATGACGCTATTTATGTATAACAACTATACTATCTGGGTTTCGGTAATTAATCATACTTTTTTATTTATCTTGAAGCTATGAATCATAGCATGTGGGATGATAACGCTTTCAAGCTTTGAATACCATAATTGAAATATCCTTCCCTAAGTCAGTGGTCATCCCGTTGGTGACTAGACTATGTAGGTTTGTATTGTATGTTTTAGTTTTTTTTTTATATTTGGTCAAATTGGTGAAAAGGGGGTGGAGATGTTTGTGTGCAACTAAAACTAGTTTAACCCCCACCAAAGTTGGCGTCTGTACCAATTCAGTCTTACTAGACCATATGTAGTTCGTTATTGTGTGCTTTTGTTTAATTGTGTGCTTATTTTATAGTCGGGTGTTGTTTGTTGTTGTGGTCTGTTGTACTGTATGGTACTTTTGGTGATCCCTGTTGTATCTTTTTTATATATTATACAATGGTTAAACTGAACAAATAAACTACCGAAATTTACCGAAATGAACTTTCTGTTGAAAAGTCAAATATAAACAACATCTATCCTAGATTTAAATGTTTCAGTTTCACACGGGAAAAACTATATTAAGATGTACGACAAAAGGGACGATTCTTAGTTCTCTATTACTAAGTTTCCTTTTTTGGACGATTCTTTTACTGTGGTCCCAACCTACAGTGTTTAAATATCCCAAATCGTTGATATCACTGGAAATTATTAAGTAAGGGATTTAGTTACCACAAATTACTTAACATCCTACTATTTTTTCCATAGATACAGATTTGGTTTTGAAAGTTTGACTGCACCTTAGAAACTCTATTTAGAGAGGGATATCACATTCCAATTTTTACAGTGATGTTGTTTAAAGAGCCCGTAAATCTAGACACGATCCGTGTAAACTTGTCGATCCTTTAGATATACTTATTCTAAAGGTTATCAATTTAAGACTGCAATGAGATCTTTGAATATTGTTTTTATTGATACAAAACTTGATTTTGTTATCAATGAATTAAAACACAACTAAATATTATTGCTAGACAGCTATGAACATTTATAATCCTACATTTTGTCGATAATTACATTTTTTGTATTGCATAGGATCATGTTTTTCTGACTTTTTATGGCTTCTTTACACCAAATTCATTCGATTTGTACCGATTGCCAAGCTATTTTCTAGTCAATATTTTGCATATACTATGAAATAAGTCTGAACAACATTTTACAAAAAGCCTAACCCCTTTAACAATGTTAGAGGCAAATAAGTTTTGAATATCAAATTAACTTTACTATTAGGGTCCCTGTATTGACAGATTTTCATAAAGGTTATCAGACAGAAGACAATTCAAACTCTAGCCTTGTTATACAAGTTTTATTTTCCACAAAATCAATGAACATGATGTATTTAACTGTCAATGTGATTTCAATAAATAGTCAAAATGTTTACCTGGTTGTCCAAGGAGTCTATCTGATTTCGGTAAATGTTCTGCTCGTCTTATAAATACTTTCATTCTTTTGGCCATACTGTTATACTGCAGCAAAACAAATATTTCACCCAGATTGCTGTTTAAATGTTTGTCTGCAGTAGAATGCTACAAGAAAAAATATTCGGATAAATCGCCAAATTAAAACTAGAATACTAAAACCTTACTGAAACATATTCAAAATAATCAAATTACACTATAGTTCTTGTAATCTTATGGCTTATTACAGAACATAGTTAGATGCAACAATTATTAGAAAAAAATATGTGCAAAAAACACAGATTTCATGAAAAATAGAGGGTTTAAATGAGTCTCTTTAAAAGATCAGAACATGACTTCAAATCTGTCATTTAGTTTTGTTAAGCTGTCTTTCGTGAGTGTGAATATGCTTACAACTATGGTTTACATAGAAGTATCAAACATTTTGTGAAAGTTGTCACTGCATCTGGTAGATTTGAGATAATGACACTATTCCTGTTTTATCAAAACTAATTGATCTTTAAAAAATAAGATAAAAGATAAAACAATCATTTATTACTTCTATGTTAATTAGATGTAGTTGTCTCATTCATATATTCGTGGCTGACGCCACTCTGATACGAAAAGACTACATCTAATACAAAGTAATTTTAACATCTAAATGACTAATATAATTTGTTGATTTAATTGATACGCAAGTTTAAATATTATTGCTTTTGATTTATGTTTATATCTTTAGAGGATGGGGTATGTTTTGTTTTTGTTATATTTTCTTCTACTTTACCTTACAGTTCAATGATTACTAATTTAATTTTTATTTGGCATGCAAGTAAACATCCTGGCTGATGTCAATAAAATATATTCATGGACATATTTAAAATGTGTTTTTTTTATAAAAAATAAATAGACCCATTTCTTTTTACAAATAATATACATATGGCTTTAACTGTTATACATATATACTATTCCAACCGATTAGTTTTCCCATTAATTTTCTTTATTGAGGAAATTTCTTTATTGAAGAAAAAAAGAATAAGTAAATTTTAATGTCTTAATACTTAATTTAAAATGAAAAGTTATTTTCGTCATAAATTGATTTGAGAAAGTGCCAATTTTTAATCAATGTAAGATAAGTGTATCTTTATAATGAAATTGTACCAACACCTGTCTATTTAGCGATAAAATGTAAAGATTGCATTCATATTCAAATAGTTTAGTTTAAAAATATTGTATTGTCTGAATAAACAATAGGGTTGGATACCAGTATAACAACATACTACTCTCAAATTAATTACAATAAAAAAAAAATCAAATTTAAACATAAAAACCTTTTTCTGAATTTAACGTAAACTTAATTTAAATAAAAGTGATACGTTGTGCAATGCAGAGTGCACAATCTTTAGTGTGCTGTAATGGGACGACGTGATTATGCTCAGAAACCTGATAATAATGTGCAAAAATATTTATTCGCAAGTTTTGGCAAGAATCAACTTGCGCCAATTACAGTTTCTAAAAGGTATCAATTGCGCCACTCTAGATCTCTATTTTACTGATGGAATTAATTGCGTCAATAAATAGAATAAAATTGCGCCAAATTTACCTGACATTTTTTAACCTATATTATACATGTAACATGCACTATAAGTATGCATAGAGGATAATGCGTTGTTTCCTCTTTCAGGAGTGGCTGAAATTCCTTCAAATTCTAGAATAACAAATAACGGACCAGAAGCATTCCTCACTCATTACAACGAACAATTGTATGCTTCACATCCGTCAATGTTTATGTTTTTTTTTGTACTCGCACAAAGGTTCAGGCCACGACACATTTAAATCCGAAGTGCTTGTTTAGAAGCTGCGAGAAGTCGGCACGACTCGGAAAAAGAAAACTTTGCTATAGAAAAGTACCAAAAACTAGTGATAGAAGTGAGCAGAAAGGAGTATGTTTCTAAACTAAAATACAAAAACCTGTCTTTGGTTTAATGTTGAACAGAGACATTATAGTTTTAACTGTGTATATGTGAGTGAACGTTTTACTTCAGCATATTTGTTTTCATTAAAATGACTAACTCCGCCAGCACGGATAAATGATGAGGGAAGTCAATCATTTAGTAGATATAATATATAAGTAAAAATGAATTGATAAAATTGGCGCATTGTATAATAATAATAATAATAATAATAATAAATTCTTTATTTAAAGAGGGTAAACTCAGTTAGTTACAATAAACTAATCTTCCCTGAGGCCCTCACATACAAATTACAATACAATCAAAAAACAGATATTTACACATAGTTAATTTACAGTCAATTAGTTCAATGTAATATTACTAACATGATAAGATATAAGGCTGTTCAAGATGTACATGTAGTCAAAAAATCAAATACAAATATAAATAAAAGAATATACAAATACATTGTAGAAAACATAATCTTATCAGGACTGTGTTAAGTACTTCTTGATACTTTGTTTAAAAGTATAAGTGTTTTGAGCTTTACGCATTTTGTTTGGTAGTCCATTCCATAACACTGATCCAGAATAAACAAAAGATTTCTTAAATAGCTCAGCTTTTGGCTTAGGAACTATCAGATTACCTTGAGTGACGCCTCTCAGGGAGTAAGGATTATTATCTGATTTCAGTTTAAACTTTTGAACTAGGTACATTGGTGCTTCCATACGCATACATTTATATAGAAGTAAATATTTGTGGTATTTTATTCTATTGTCAACTGTCATCCACCCAAGTTCTTTGAATAAGGGGGCTGAGGGGGATAAAGGAACTGCATCTAGAATTAATCTTGCTTGATTGGGACTATCAACATACAATCAATATCAGTAAAGCAGGCGAGACATTTCAGCGTATTCACTCTTGTTTTAAGTTTTACAAGAACAATACAGCCTCATACAATTGTATGATTGTTTTATTGGTGCAAATAAAATCTATAGTTTTCAAAATGAATTGGCGCAGTAGTAGTATTGGCGCAAATAAGTTGTGGCGCAAATGATTTCAATTTTGACGCAAATAGATATCGGCCGAAGTTTTTATCTTTTTTTTTTTTTATTCGCTGATTCGGATTATCGAACTTAACTAAACGATATTGTTCTTGTAAAACTTAAAACAAGAGTGAATACGCTGAAATGTCTCGCCTGCTTTACTGATATTGATTGTATGTTGATAGTCCTAAATATAAAGCTTTACTACAACTTCAAGTATCACATAAACTTAACATGATCCAAGAAAATGAGGTCAAGGTCAGATAAACCAAACCGGAAATACATGTACACTTTACAATCCGTCCATACACCAAATATAGTTGACCTATTGCTTATAGTTTTTAAGAAACAAACTCAATCAGGAAAACTTAACATTGACCAATGAACCATGAAAATGAGGTCAAGGTCAGGTGAACCATGCCAGACGGACATGTACACCTTACAATCAATCTATGCATTAAATAGAGTAGACCTATTGCTTATAGTATCTGATATATGGACTTGACAACGAAAACTTAACCTTGTTCACTGATCAATGAAATGAGGTCGAGGTCAGATGAAAACTGTCTGACAGGCATGAGGACCTTGCAAAAGGTACGCACATACTAAATATAGTTATCCTATTACTCATAATAAGAGAGAAATTAGCATTACAAAATATCTCAACTTTTTTTTTCAAGTAGTCACTGAACCATGAAAATGAGGTCAAGGACAATGGACATATGACAGACGGAAACTTCATAACATAGGGCATCTATATACAAAGTATGAAGCATCAAGATCTTCCACCTTCTAAAATATATAAACTTTTAATTAATTAGTTACCGCCACCGCCGCCGCCGGATCACTATCCCTATGTTGAGCTTTCTGCGACAGAAGTCGCAGACTCGACATCAAAATAACATCCAATTTGTTAAGTTCAATAATGCTTTCTTTGAACGTCTCATGTGGTTACTTTCAGAAAGTTTTGATTCGTGTCCGTTAAACAGAAAATGAAAGGAAAAGGAAATCAATTTGACATTTTAAAACATTCATTAGTTTCTTTCATGTTCAGTAAATCCTTAAAATTAAGTAATTATATGTTAGAAAAGAAACAAATATTTATTTAATTCTAAATCAGATGGAATTCTCTTTAATTACAATGTTAAATGCAAACTTAGAACTCAATAATTAATGTTTCAGTGATCAATAGATGAAATAAATATACATTTTCTATTAATTTCGTTCGCCGTATTTACTATTTTCACACTGAAATATAGAGTATAAGAACAAAAAAATCGAAAGTCAGCAAGTGTTGGCTGAAAGCTTAAAATCAAGTGGCAAATATTTCATGCGTATTGTGGACATAAAGCAAGTCATAAAACTTTCGACTACCACAAAAATAGAACGGGATTAAACGTCAGCTTAGCAGTTTGTAGTTCCAATGCGTACATGGTGTACATTTCGAATAACATACACGGTACCGATTTTAATGCACCAGATGCACATTTCGACAATTAATGTCTCTTCAGTGATGCTCAAGGCCAAAATATTCAAAACTCCAAAATCGAATACGAATATTGAAGAGTGAATCCACAAAAAGAGTCTTTATTAATTCATGCATCCACAAAGGGAGCCCGATACTATCCACAAAGGGAGCCCGATACTTTCCAAAAAGAGCAACAAAAAACCCCGTATATTTACGAGTTTTCAATATATAATCTAACAATAGTATGAGAAGTTACTGTAGATATACCCAGTTGGTAATATCGGGATGTCTTGAGAAGGATATGTTAAGTTATATTTGTGATAAAAAAACAAAACAAAATACAAAAGCAAAAATATGCAACAAGAACGAATTTAAGATTACCATTACTCTATTAATCTAGGTTCAAGCAGATTAATATTTTACGATGAAAAACATCAAGGATGTTCTTAAAAAATTACCTTTTTTAGCCTTTTCCTTTGAAGAACAACTTCCATTCTTGTTGGAGATGGCGACTTTATATTTATTTCAGTACACTGTATAAATGCTTCACCAATAAAGTTGGTCTTTGATTTTTTCTTAGAAAATAAAGACAGTCTTAATGTACAATGTTCTAAATCTTGTAAAGATACATTACTAAACTGTAAAATTTCGTCAAAATGTACAATTTCATCCACGCGCACTACTTTCGTGTTTATGCCTTCGTTTGATTTAGGGAATAAATGAGCGGTAATAAACACTTCAGAATTTTGTGTTTTGAAAGGAAGATCCATGGCGTCTTGTAAATCTATATTAAGCACAGAGTTAGCTTGATGGTACTCTAAACAAAGAGTAAGTACTGTCTCGTTATCTGTTCTATAAATCACACCGGAAGCTACCCCATGTGTCAAGTTTCCCATAGACTTTGCCCTTCTCATCATTCTCAATTTCTTGATAGCGGAAATCTTATTCATGTCAGATGCGGATTTGTCACTTTGAGGACTACCGTTAAAATTTGTTTCAATTATATCTGAACCGGAAGGAGTACTTGATCTATCACCGGAGGGTGTACTCGATCTATCTGACATATCCAATTCGGAATACTCTTCTTGTGGGTACTCTTCGCTATACAAAAAAGTATTATAATTTGTGTCATCAATAGCATTTTTGTTATCCTCACTTTGTGAGCGATAAAGCTGGCTGTTCAAACTAGCAATTCCAAATGGTGATGGAGCATCATTTGTGATAAAGAAATGCCCAAGACTAGATTTACGCCGCACTGAAGAATTGCGTCGTCTGAGGCAAATGATGCATGCAAAAATCACACAGGAAATAACAACAGCACAACACACTGCGATGATAACCTGCACCACAGCTAAAACAAGAAAAACATTATTTACAAGTATTACTTAACTTTATATTGTGAAAACATTTGAAAAACGCTATTATGAATATCTAATGGCCCTACGTTTTTTTTTTGTTTTTTTTTTGTTGATATAGTGTTTTTCATTTATCCTGTTTCTGATTGTTCTAGTTTTGCTTGTTACCATCATAACATAGTAACGTCCATACTAATAGGAAATAATAATATCAAAAGTATAAAAAGCGTATTGAAGTACACTCGCAATTTATAAGAGAAAATAAACATCATTTCTTTTAGTTTGACTATGGTCCATAACATTCCTAAAACTATTATGGACTCTTATTAAAGTGCAACATAGTATGGAAATCAATTCTTGGACCCAGGACCGATTTCGATAAAGTCCAAATTCCAAAATGCATGATTTGTTAAGACCATAAACCTACCCAATAGTTAAAAGAATAAAGAGATGTGATATGATTGCCAATCGAAAACTATCAACTACAATCCCAAAGTACATGGACGTGAAAAACTACAGGTCGGCGCACGGCCTTCAATTTATGAAAAGCCAAAGGTGTTATGATTCCAACTTTGCAACTCTTAAATGTATTTACGTATGTATGTGATCTGTAATTTTGAGGAATTCCTACTTTGCAATTCTTAATTTGTACTCTCGACAATTGATTACGTCAAAGAACTGCAACTCTCACTTTGAAAAATTGCTACTCTCACTTTGCAACTCTGCATTTAAATATTCGCATTTGTAATATGTCAATTGGCATTTTGCATTTATGATTTATGTTATTTGAAAAGTTCCACAGTTGGCGCCGCCGTCAAAATTTCAACTAAAGGTTGATTACAAGTATTCAACTGAAGAATATTGACGGTTTTATGCTTTAAAATAAATATATTTTCCAATCAAAGGGGAGACGTCAGTTCCTCTCCCCTACTCAGAATCTGCCACTTGTGACTATATGCCAGTCTAATTTAAAAAAGCCACATATGGCATCTTTTTGCTCCACAATAGTACTATAATTCGTGTGTAAATGTGTAGATAACAAAGAAAGAAAAAATAGATTACAAGCTGCAGTCAACATCCAGATATCATTAAAATAAAATGATCTAAACAATAGTTTCAATAAAGTTCTGTCAGTTTCAATTTTTACTAATACGTATATTCATTTTACTTATATAATTTGTACTTAACACAGCTTATACACAATTTATAATTGTTATTGTGAAATCGTTGTTTTCCGACCGAAAACATTCAATAGATCAAATTAAGCATGACCACATCAATGTATTATGTTACGGATGACTGCACATCGAAATACTGAATATGTTTACGTCATTTGTTTTTAATCTTGTATCGACGAGGACATGAAAATAATAAATTTTCATTTAATGTTTTCGAATAAAATCAAATCTGAAACGATTGCAATTTAATGTGATCTTACTTATACAATGACTGTCTTATCCCCAAAAGAAAACATTTCTACTCAGCTTTACCCATAGAAAAGAAAACAGCAAACACAAGACAAGGCTTTACCATACGGGCGATTTTCAAAAAATGTCCACTTTCTCTGTCCAGGGCTTGAATTGTGATAAAATCATGTATATATATATTGTGCTAGTAACTTTTTAATGGCGTCCATGAACAAATGTCCACTTCGCAACGACAACAAACAATTGGCAAAATTATAATCATTCTTTTATCTAAATTGTAGGCTTTCCCTTTTTCTTGCCACCAATACACCTTCATTTAGTAAAATGGCGGTCATCTATGGATGCTGATGATATAGTTCGTCTCACGGCATTGAATCAATTGGCAAGTCCTATTTATAGCGTACATTTTTACTTGTCCACTTTGCAACGTCTTTTTTTTTAATGTTCACCTCAAATCTTAAAAAAACTTGGAGTACATGAAAAAAAAAGTATTATCTAAGACAATAATCATAAAAACATGTATCTGAGAAACTGCGTGTAACAACAATGGCTGCTAACATGTAAATACGTCCACTGCACAACGGTCCACTACGCAACATTCTCATTGCGAAGTGGATACAACCCGGACACAAATCATTTTATAGGGAACATATATCGTTACGCAGTGGACATTTGTGAACATTTTAAAACGGCTTGTAATATTTTCTAGTAGTTAAAATTGCAAATCAAATAGTAAACCGTATAAAATCGTTTATTTTGTCAGATTCTTGAAGAAAAAATACCTTTGAATCTATTTTTTTAGAATGGTAGAGCCTTAAAAAAGGGGACATCTTGGTACACCATGTTCACTTTTACAGAGTTGTTGTCAAACTTACCGTTCAGTTTAAGGTTGCATATTTTGTATTTAGTTTATACTGATGTTAAAGTATTGACATGTACAATTAAATCACTTTTTTGTCAACATTTTTTTTTTCATTTTCCAGTTGTTCAAAATGGACATTTTTTGAAAAAGTCCCATACATGTTACAGCAAATGAAAAAAAAAACATGCTATTATTTAAATGTTTCGATTCCAGTTATAACAAGTTTGATCTAAATTTGTAGCACTTATTTGGATTTTTAAAGTTTTGTTTAGTAAATAGAAATAAGAAGATATGGTATGAATGCCAATGAGTAAGCCTTTTATGCTTCTGACTTGTGAATCTTCTTTAAATTTTGACAGCAAAGTTCTGTAATGGTAATGAGATCAAGTAAATGGTAATATTGACTTTCGATATAGATTGCGTAGTAAAAGATTGCCACAACTCTCATCTAGTTTCAATATATTAACGTATCGCTCTGGGACGTACAAAATTAATGTATTTTAACTCGAGCAAACTGAAAGAATAATCAGACAACATTTTCCGATCAATTGTAGTAAAGTGCAAATCCGCCCGCAACAATTTTTTTTCTCTATATGGCCTGGAATCAGGTTGGAAATAATGATTTTTTTCTCTTTGTATCAATACGGTTAACAAATGCCATAAAACGGGTTTATGTCAGAAAAATTAGTTTAATATGTCATTTATTGGTGCGTGGGTCTAAAATTATTGCAGAGGCTGTCTACAGCTATAAATTTTCTAACTTGGAAAACACTGATGGATTAAAATTAAATGATTGTGGGAATACCTACACATATACGGGATAGGTAATCTAAAAAGCATTAATCACCAAAGACGAATTAGTATCTATGTATCTACTTACGATCATCAATTGGATGTCTGTGATCTCCTTGTTTTCCATCGTGTCCAGCATTATCTCTTTTCAAATCTGGACAAGACAATAAAAAAGTATGAAATACACGCATAGTCTTCGACATGTATGTCAGTTTTCTTATTGGGTAGTTGGCGTTTAAAAATTTAAGATCATTTGTCATGTATAACCAGCAAGTATATTCTTGAATTTTGACCGATTTGAAAAATATCAGTATAAGTACTAAGAACACGACTAACATATAAAATGTGTTTTTATTATTGATTGATTGGTTATTGATGTTGTTTGCTTAACGTACAGTGGAACATAGTTTATATATATTAAGGAAGAGAACACATTAACAATAAATCAAATATGGAGGTTTTGAAAAGCGGGTCACCCGGGACAAAAGCGGGTCACCCGGGACAAAAGCGGTTAATTTACACTGACAGTGGGAAAAGAAGGTATGTGTGATAAGGACAGAAATTTTGCCATTCAACGGACAACCTTCGGACAAACTTCGAAGAGTTGCTGCAAGGGTTATTTAGCATCTTTACGTTGCATTAAATTTGATGTAATTCTTATCTCGTATTAAACGTGTAAGTGACACAAATGTACGGGCTTTGCATGCCGTCTATTTAGAATTTCATGTTATACTACAAACTATGAAATTTCTAAAACGTGCACGTTTATTCTATCAATCAAAAATTAACACTTTGGCATAAGTTAGTTAAAACAGCAGTGCTATTTTTCAGCAGTTTCTATTGACGACTTGCTAAAACAAAATAGGTATTTTTTGTCAATCCCTCTTTGTTAGATGTACATGCATATATTTTTATCCACCCAATATGTACTTTCAAATGCTGTGTACAATTTCGAGACCTTCAACAGATGTTGATAACAATTTCTTTAAAGAAGTTTCTGCAAAATGACAATTTCTTAATTCGCGAGTTACCCATAATATCCTCAAGCATTTCCATAAAATAGCTCCATACAAGACGAATTTGTGCAACTCGCATCATTTTTATTTCGTTGACCCCTTCCTTATCTTAAACATCTTTGTCCATAATGTTACTTATCATGTAAGTACCTCTACTTTCCAATTAAGTCTCTTTGAAATTTCACTGGACATTTGCACAGAATGAACTTTAAATCTTAAATTTTCAAGAAACTGGGTTAAAGACGACAAGAGCTGACAACATCATAAAACTGTTCCCTCATCTTCCATATAATACAAACCGTTGCTCTAGTGGTAGCGTGTTCGCCTCGAGTGTGGGAGGTCGTGGGTTCAAACCCCGGCCGAATCAAACCAAAGACTTTAAAATTGGTATTTGCTGCTTCTCCGCTAAGCACGCGGCATTCAGTAGTTAGAGCAAAGACTGGTCTGCTCGGAGTCAGAATAATGTGTCCGGGAAAAGTGACATGTCTTCCTGCGGACTGTTATCTTGTGAATTAGGACGTTAAAAATCCGGCTCAGCGTGTCGGTCAAGTACAAAGCAGGGTTAATATTCATATTACATTAACATGTTCTCGTCCTGAATATGCATATTAATTTGCCGATGGACGTTAAGCAGTCATCCATCATCGTCACCATATAACACATTGAAACCCTATTTTGCACTCTGTGCAAGACGGCTAAATAATATCTTACTTCAAGGAGTATTAAGTACAAACATATCTCTAAAAATGCATATTGTATGTAAATATAGCTTACTAATTAAAAGTTAAAACTACCATGCGTGTCTCTTAAATAGGTTTTGAACTGTAGAAATGTCCGCATCTTTTGTTAATCTAACCCGGACTTGCTTTATAGTTTCAGAGTTTCATATCCGATTAAAACCGTAAACCGTAAAACCGCACAAACTTGCTGCAGTGTACAGTATGGAACAAGAATTTAAATCGTTGTTGCATATGAAGATAAGGAGATGTGGTATGACTGCAAATGAGACAACTATCCACCAAAGTTCAAATAAAGTGGATGTAAGCAATTATAGGCAACCGTACGGCCTTCAACAATGAGAAAAACTCATACCGTATAGTCAGCTATAAAAGGCCCCGACATGAAAAATATGAAACAATTCAATTGAGAAAACTAACATGTCTGCTACAACGATCTACAAAGACCCAGCTTGTCTTAATCGAATCTGGGAATAAAACAGTCATACTTCATCGAAAACTCAAATGAATATTCAGCCAAATAAATTGTAAGTGCATATCATAAGTACTTGTTCCGACGTACGAAAATAATAATGAAACCCCCGTTAAATCGTACATTTTTAAAACTTTACATAACGTGTGTGGTTTGGCACACTTTTTTAAACCTTCAACCGTTGAATTCATATCCTGAAATTAATTTCATTATCCAATCAAAAATAATGTTACAAACATTGTTGCATTATATTTATAATTTCATTTATTCAAAATAGATTCAGATTTAGATTCAATATTTTATAATTGTCTCACCACAAACAAACATGTGATAATATTCAAAGGATTACACGTTAAAACATTTGCGAACATTAGCTAAATTACCTTTCATTAACATTCCAAAATCTCAAAAAAGATTATACACTCTGGAACTATTTTTTTTTTCCAAAACTAGAAGCTGACATATCAATATTCCTTAATTACATCTGACAAAAATTGCAGGTAAAACGTGTCGCGTTCATTGTTAGAAGTTAACACTGATGTATGTGAGCAGTTTAAAATTCTTAAAATGTACGTCTAATGTTTGCATTATTCAACTGGAATTGATATATAAGTCCAATATCTATTGAATTCTTTAATACACGTCACAGTTTCATACATTTGCAAAGTGCATACGTATTAAACAGAAATAAGACCGAGGATACCTATTTTGGTAAAACAAGATTTCAAAGACTTGCCAATTACAAGCATTCTTGTGCTAATTGGGATATAAATTTTGAGTGCAAAAAACATAACTTGGGATTTCAATAAACATATTTAAAAGTGAATTTGTCTAGAACAAGGCTATGTATTTTTGTATCACATACTGACTAAAGGTGATAAATTGATCCCCCGGCAAGCCTCCGTTTTCAAAGGGACCAATGTCACGAGTCATTCAATATCACGAACATCATGTTTTCAGCCTAAAGTTGCTAACCAAAAGTTGTTGACTTTTATCTATTTATTTGTACGTCGCAACATTTTTTCATCATTTCTTTTTGCACCTGAAATGTATATCTCGTTTAGGTAAGTGGTCCCTAACTGTCCAAGAACATGCAGGCTCCTGTTCATATAAATTAAATCCATATAGTACCCTTTACCTTCGAAATGAACACAATATGAACACCTTACAATTTATTCCGTATGGTGATATAATGAACGCTTTCCTGGCATACAACGTAACACACATGACTTAGTCTTGAACATGCATGAAATATTTGCCACTGCACGTTAAGCAACCAACAATTAATCAATCTTAATAAAACAATTCAAATTGAATAATTATTATACACAAGTTCCAAAAAGTTATGAAAAGTTTACCATCAAAACCAGTGACCATTTAAATCATCATATCTTATTTATTTGTATTATTAGAAAATCGTGACAATTTTTAAAGGGACTTCAAAAGAAAAGAAAAATATAAATTAAAATTGAAAAATAAATCAAAATCAAAATGAATTAAAAACTTACCTGTCACACTGTTTATAGAAGGAAATGTAATAGTCATGTTAAAAATATAATCCTTCGAAAAATAAACTATAAATCTTTCCAAAAAATTTCCTTCATTTTCTGATCCGATACATGTAAAGTATTAGATGTGAAATCAACCATCTGCTCCGATATCAGCAATATATACAGTGATCACATGATTACGCTCTCAATATAGTCAATTTCCCTAACTGATACAAGTCGTAAAGCTATCATTACTATCCAATCCTATAAATAGAGGTCAGTGATAAGTATCTGAAACTGCGAGGAGACTTAAGTTATAGAAGTGATAATTCACTTGAATCAGATGGTTAAATTTAAGATTTAAAGGACGTCATAAATTCGGTGGTACATGTACGTGTATCAAAAGTCATGGGTTAATTGTGTTTTGATCTGATGAGAAGATCTTGTTTATAATACAGGTAGAAATTAGTCAACCATTGAAGCGTTACATTCTTATTTATTTTTATTGAAATTTGATTAAGACAGATATTGTTTAATCATCACCTACACCATTTGACCGAACTGTTCCCCTAGGTTATTATTGTATTAAGTAAACATTAATACGTTACATGGCAATTTTGTATTTAATATATTTTAGATATAAATGATTTGAAAGTCTGGATTTTCATTGCCGAATATTACTATTAAAAACAGGATTGATTTTGAGAAAATTGTTTGTCAATAAAACATGATACCAGAGTAAGTCTGTGAATGGTAGAGACATAAACCAGTGATTTTAATAGTTTGTTCCTATGTCTCTGTTTGTTCTTATGTTATAATACTGTTACACCACTGTCCGAGGTTAAGAGGAGTGTTGGCGCCTTCAAACTAGTTCAGCCCCGCCACATTCTGTATGTGCCTGTCCCAGTCAGGAGCCTGTAATTCAGTGGTTGTCGTTTGATGCTATAGATCATATTAATTTTGTTTTTCGTTTATTATTTTGTACATAAATTAGGCCGATAGTTTTCTCGTTTAAATTGTTGAACATTTGTTATTACGGGGCCTTATAGCTGACTATGCAGTACGGCTTTATTCCTTGTTGAAGGCCGTACGGTGACCTATTATAGTTGTTAATTTCTATGTCAGTTGGTCTCTGTTGGAAAGTTGTCACATTGGCAATCATCCCACATCTTATTTTTATATCAAAAATTGTGTACTATATATGCAAGTCAAGTATAAGTAAAAATTTAGTCAACTGTCGATTCACAAAATATGACAAAATTTATTTCTTATTAATAGCGGATAAAGTTTAAAGTGAACTCATGGTAGTACTTCTATATCATGATTTTTATTGTTTGCATTTTAACAAGTCGGATATCGATTTCAACAAGAACAAAACGAATAGGTATTGATATAAAGAATACCCGAAAAAAAAGTCACGATCTCTCATTCATAATTTTGCTTCACTGTCGGGGGACCATCAATTTATGCAGTTGTATAAAATTGTGTTGGTGTATTACATTGTACGAAATATTGAAACCCCATTCTATGTAATTAAATGAGTGTCGGGGGACTTTTATAAATAACAGCAATTATTTTACCGGAGACAAATATACAGATGACCTATACAAATATGATTAGTTCTCTTGTAGAAATTTCTAATTATAAACTCTCGCTTAGATTATAGTCGGAATAATTATGGAGACACAAATAGGAATACAAATATCATTTAATTTCAAAATCGTCTAATAATGTTATTTTGTAGTAAATAAAAAAGCATTTAAATCGACCGAATATCAAAACGAAATTTAATGTTTTGTTTATTTGTGAACAAAGTTGACAAATCTGAGCACGAACCGTTGACGTCACTTACATTACATGTAGATATATTTGATTGCATATTATTTGTCTAGGAATTTATTATGAGTAAACTTCAACAACAAAAAAAGATCCAAAAGCAAACATCATTTTGTTTTAACTCTTGTGGATAACACTTTATAAAAAAAATGAAAAATAATTTACTTTTGAACTATAAAATCTTGGAATGAACACTGACAACCGGCTACCCCCGTTTATGGACTGACGTTTAAAAAAAGAGACAATTTTGAAAGTATTCAAAGTAATACATAGTTATTTTCGGCGGAGGAGATTTAGCGCATTGACAGGAAAGAATCGAACGTTTAGCTCAAAAGTATAACCCATTTTAGTGCCAGATTTTTAACCCATTTCAGATAAAAGGGAAAGTATCAATGCCCATTTTAGCTGCAGCAATTAATTCACAGTAGAATAATAAATTTTAATAGCATCAAGAAAGCACATTATCAAAATGTTATGTGCACTAAAAGTCCAAAACGTTACCTCAGATGATACAAGTCCTTTTTAGTCATAATGAAAATTGGGGTTAATGGCGATTTTTGTTCTTTATTTAAATATTATCGATTATGATTGGTTAGTACAAGTGGTTTGGCGAAATTCTCTAGCAATGTTATTTCAGTGTATTTGCTTCTTCGAAAATTGATGTGTGCACTGTCTGAACTCCGAATCAAATTATAAATGGTTTCAATTTGATACTTTAATACCCTGTTCACATGCTTGCTAGATTCAAATCGGACGCCGTGATGAAATCCGATGTATATCTGTTATTATCATGTCGCAGTTTACGTTCACATGTGGTTCTGAAATGTGTAATTGTTATTCAAGATTAAATCCACACATGAGTGAGATAAATATTCATGTATGCACGCGATTTTCTGGCTAAAAAAAAGCAAACAAATTAGCATGCACATTGACATATTCTGGATCAGAATAGGCATTTGCGTATGCTCATTTAAGACTAAAATAAGATGTTAGCTAGTTGAAACCAGCTGTCAAAATACCTACATCATGACAAGTGGTTTGACTCTCAGACTGGATTAACAAACAACATGTAATCTGGAATATGTGTGAACGTTTTGTCTAATTTCAACCAGATTTTGTTGCGTCGTGTGATATTATTTTGTTTTATTATACTTCATGTCAAAATGCCAGATTTTGATTGGTTAATACGAGGGAGACAATTTACTCTATCCCAATGGCATGGCAAATACTCTATTACCCTTCACTGAGACGCTTGATCAAGTGTGCGCTTTATTAAATCCGGATGATTGTTATGTACATAGTTTATTACTTTGAATTTCAAATTTAAAACACAGTAATAACAGAACATTCAGTATGATAAATTAAATAACACATATCTGAGAGGGTGATAGAGCAGATTGTTACCCCTCAAAAAGACATTGTCAACCTTGGCTTCGCCTCAGTTGACAATGTTTTCTCGGGGTAACAATCTGCTCTATCACCCTCTCAGCTATGTGTTATTTATATAGTGTCGTGTAATCGGGGTATTATTTTGTTGCGTCGTGTGATCGGGGTATTATTTTGTTGCGTCGTGTGATCGGGATATTATTTTGTTGTGTCGTGTGATCTTGGTATTGTTTTGCGTCGTGTGATCGGGGTATTATTTTGTTGTGTCGTGTGATCTTGGTATTATTTTGCGTCGTGTGATAGGGGCATTATTTTGTTGTGTCGTGTGATCGGGGTATTATATTGCGTCGTGTGATCGGGGTATTATTTTGTTGTGTCGTGTGATCGGGGTATTATTTTGTTGTGTCGTGTGATCGGGGTATTATTTTGTTGTGTCGTGTGATCGGGGTATTATTTTGCGTCGTGTGATCGGGGTATCATTTTGGCAACACCAGGTTTTAAATCTGAAAATATATCAAATTTCATGATTTGAAACGTTGGAAAATCTTTCAGATATAATTAATACTCTGTAATGTTCCAATACCACTGGGTCTTACTAGGGTTTCAAACACACTGTTGAACATTGAATTGTTTAAAAATAATTATTAAAATTGGACCTACACTTGCAACTCAATGGATGCCTTGAAGATCAAGGCATTTGTTTCAATGTTTTATATCTTATCCGTGTGGTTTTTTTAAACTCAGCGAAATCACATTTAATCGATTGAAGTGGAATATACATATGCATGCATTTATTATAGTTATATTAAATGAACAAACGCTGACCATCTCTATATCAATGAAAAGAGTAAATAATTATTATCAAATGATACTTACCACTGGATTTTAAGTGACACGATCGAGAAACATCAGTAAATCAGGAACCGCTTATCTGTCCGGAGCACCTGAGTTCACCTCCGGTGTTTGGTGAGGTTCACATAAACTAAGAAGGTGTGGTATGATTGCCAACGAGACAACTCTCCACAAAAGCTCAAATGACGTTGAAGATTATAAATTATAGGTCACCGTACGGCCTTCAACAATGAGTAAAACTCATAACGCATAGCAAGTTATGAAAGGCCCCGTAATGACGAATGCAAAAAAGTCAAACGAGAAAACTATATAATGGCCTGGTTCATGTAAACAAGAGGATCTCAAGAGCCTGAATCGCTCACCTGTAATTTTTGGCTTAAATCTTTCATCAATGATTATTTTTGCTTTTCAATATATATTAATGAGTGGCTTAAAAAACGCCATTTAAATTTTCTTTGTATCTGTCATATTTTCTTAAAAGCAAAAAAATGCATTTTACCCCAATGTTCCATTTTAGCCATAGTGGCTATGTTTCTTGACGTACAAGGAAATAAAATACAAACTTTATACTTGATTCTCTGAAACTCATTCAGCCCAAGTTTGGCTGAAATTGATTCAGCAGTTTCAAAGGAGAAGATTTTTTAAAGTAAGCAAACTAGATGAACAAATTGTGAAAAATTGTCTTTAAAGGGCAATAACTCCTTAAGAGGTCAATTGACAATTTTGGTCATTAAACTTATGTGTAGATCATACTTTGCTGAACATTTTTGCTGTTTACAGTTTATCTTTATCTATAATAATATTCAAGATAATAACCGAAAACTGCAAAATTTCCTTCAAATCATCAATTCAGGGGCAATAACCTAAAAATCAGATACCTAATTTGGCTGATAATTTCAGAGCAGGTAGACCTTGTCCTAATGAATACTCTAACTTCTTGTCTGATTTCCTCTAAATGCTTTAGTTTTTGAGATATAAGTCAAAAACTGCATTTTACCCTATGTTCTATTTTTAGCCATGGCAACCATGTTTTCTGAGGAAACAGAAAATAAATCACAAACTTTATTCTAGATAACCTAAGAATCATACAGCTTAAGTTTGGTTTAATTTGGTTCAGTAGTTTCAGAGGAGAATTTTTTTAAAGTTTGAAAACATGATAAACAAATTGTGTAAAATTGTCTTTAAAGGGCAATAACTCCTTTAGGGGTCAATAATAACCGAAAATGTCCTTAAAATTCCCAATTTAGTGGCAGCAACCCAAAAATGGGTTATTAGATTCATCTGAAAATTTCAGGGCTGATAGAACTTTACATAATGAACACTTTTAAC